CTATTTTCTGTTCTTTTTCCACTCTGGAAGCTCCACTGATTAAGTTTTTTGTCCACCTAGTCAGGGATACTTTGTGCCTCGATCTTCCTCTACTCTAAATTCACAGAGCGACAACAATGACTTTAAAAAGTTAATGCATAAATCTCTATTTGATGCAAATTGGAAGAGCAAGGGCAGGCATCCTAAACAGGGTAGCATTTCGCTCTCACTGCTCCCTTGACTCCAGAGACGGGGCTGGTGGCTGTTGGGGATAACAAGGTCCCACTAAACAACCCGAATTTTCAATGGTGACGGGCCTTTCTGAAAACATCTTGATGTTGTCATCACTCATTAAATGATTATAGCTTATTCAGAATCTTTCTGAGAGTCCTTCAAAGACAGCTGCATTTTACAAAAGAAATTGAAAGGGATTTTTTTACTTCTTTACAGATCTTAGAGATGCTGGAATTGGGAGGAGTCCGTTTAAGACCTCTATCCCCCCCTTCCCACTCTGAGGCTTCTGTGTAAGGTCAGGGCTGTGGAGGATGGTTCTATGTAAGAAGGTCAGGGCTGTGGAGGATGGTTCTGTGTGAGGTCAGGGCTGTGGAGGATGGTTCTGGGTGAGAAGGTCAGGGCTATGGAGGATGGTTGTATGTGAGAAGGTCAGGGCTGTGGAGGATGGTCGTGTGTGAGAAGGTCAGGGCTGTGGAGGATGGTCGTGTGTGAGAAGGTCAGGGCTGTGGAGGATGGTCGTGTGTGAGAAGGTCAGGGCTGTGGAGGATGGTCGTGTGTGAGAAGGTCAGGGCTGTGGAGGATGGTCGTGTGTGAGAAGGTCAGGGCTGTGGAGGACGGTCATGTGTGAGAAGGTCAGGGCTGTGGAGGATGGTTGTGGGTGAGAAGGTCAGGGCTATGGAGGATGGTTGTATGTGAGAAGGTCAGGGCTGTGGAGGATGGTTGTGTGTGAGGTTAGGGCTGTGGAGGATGGTCGTGTGTGAGAAGGTCAGGGCTGTGGAGGATGGTTCTGTGTGAGGTCAGGGCTGTGGAGGATGGTTCTGTGTGAGGTTAGGGCTGTGGAGGATGGTTGTGGGTGAGAAGGTCAGGGCTGTGGAGGATGGTTGTGTGTGAGAAGGTCAGGGCTGTGGAGGATGGTTGTGTGTGAGAAGGTCAGGGCTGTGGAGGATGGTTCTGGGTGAGAAGGTCAGGGCTGTGGAGGATGGTTGTGGGTGAGAAGGTCAGGGCTGTGGAGGATGGTTGTGTGTGAGAAGGTCAGTGCTGTGGAGGATGGTTGTGTGTGAGAAGGTCAGGGCTGTGGAGGATGATTGTGTGTGTGAGAAGGTCAGGGCTGTGGAGGACGGTCGTGTGTGAGAAGGTCAGGGCTGTGGAGGATGGTTGTGTGTGAGAAGGTCAGGGCTGTGGAGGATGGTTCTGGGTGAGAAGGTCAGGGCTGTGGAGGATGGTTGTGGGTGAGAAGGTCAGGGCTGTGGAGGATGGTCGTGTGTGAGAAGGTCAGGGCTGTGGAGGATGGTCGTGTGTGAGAAGGTCAGGGCTGTGGAGGATGGTTGTGGGTGAGAAGGTCAGGGCTGTGGAGGATGGTCGTGTGTGAGAAGGTCAGGGCTGTGGAGGATGGTTCTGGGTGAGAAGTTAAGGGCTGTGGAGGATGGTTCTGAAGACGGCCAGTCTGTTCTACCCCTTCGTTCCCGGACAGTGCTTATACTCCCCCGAGCCAAATGCTTGATATCAATGTGACTCTGGAGAAGACCAAGCATGGGTCCTCACTGCCATGCCCCCTTGTAGAACATGCAAGGCTTCTTCCTAAGGAACTCTTTAGGGTTTCTTAGAACACATGGGTTCTTCCAAGCTGGAGCATCCCAAGCCCTTCAGGAAATGGGCACGTAGCTTGTGGTCTGGCTCTTCCACCAAGGAGATCCTAGAGTGTGACGTGGATACGACATGGTAGAAAATAGAAAGGTGTGTGTTTCCCTGAACAGACGTCTCCCTAAGCAGGACAGGGATCTAGGAGCAGCTTAGTCCTCTCCATGACTTCTGACATGGACCACGGCCATCAGCATCGTGTGCCTCTGTCCTACAGCAGAGACTGACAGCGCACACGGGCCTCAAATCCAGGCTCAAAACAAGTGCTGCCATGCTAGCTGTGGGATCTGGAACCATTTATCTGTCTGCAGCGCGCTGTGAGAATTAAATGAGAATCGTCCCATTCATTATATAGTGCCTAGCACGTAAATGCATGCTCAGTGAAGGGTTCCTATCATTATTACCACTCTTACCCTTAGCTTGAGATAAGGGAAGTCTCCCAAGGACTTCCTGGACCACATGATCTGGGAGGAGATGCCATTCCCTGCAGAGTCTATTCTATCCCTTGATTAAGCTGCAAGCACATCTTATGGTCTCTCCACATTGCCAGGTTACCACCAAATTTTATGACCTTCCTCTGTGCCCTCTTCCTTCCAGTTTAACGGTTGGCCAGTGAGCTACAAACCAAGTGAACATATACCTAGCATAAAGAACCTAAAGAAGGCTGGGCATGGTGGCTCACACCTGTAATCCCAGCACTTTAAGAGGCTGAGGCGAATGGATCACTTGAGGTCAGGCGTTCAAGACCAGCCTTGCCAACATGGTAAAACCCCGTCTCTACTAAAAAATACAGAAATTATCTGAGTGTGGTGGTGCACACCTGTAATCCCAGCTACTCGGGAGTCTGAGGCATGAGAATTGCTTGAACCCAGGAGGCAAAGATTGCAGTGAGCCAAGATTGTACCACTCCACTCCAGCCTGGGCGACAGAGCAAGACTCTATCTCGGGGGGGAAAAAAGACCCTAACTAGAGGCAGGATTGTGCCCTAACTATAGACAGGCAGGACAACACCCCCTAACCAGAGACTGGACTGTGCCCCCCTGACCAGAGACAGGACCATGCCTCCTAATCAGAGAGAGGACCATGACCCTCTAACCAGAGACAGCACCATGTTTCCCTAAGCACAGGCAGAACCATGCTCCCTAAACAGAGACAAAACAAGTCTCATGAGATCACCGGCCTCCACACCCACCCTCTCTGGCATCTGCCACTGCCCCTGCATGCCATCATGTCATCCCCAGCCTCTAGAGCCCGCCCATCCCAAGAGGGGTCTTGGCAGAACCACACTTGGTTCAATTTCAAGCCACACGCTGTTTGCCCTACATAAGGCCCTTTCCAGTTCCACTCCTGAGACTATGCAGAGTGCACCTGCAGCACGACCCCAAAAAGACAGGAACACCAGACTTCAGGGGTCAACACCAGACCTCGGGGGTGCTCCTGGAGTCATTGGAAATCCTTCTCCATGGCTCAGCACCCATCCCATATTAATGTGTTCCCAATGTCTTTCAAGACTATGAATAAGAATAGTTACGGTGGAGAATATGAAAAGGCAGGCACATTTATGTTTATGTAATAATGGAAAAGTCCACTGTAAATAAAGCCAATTTACATGGAAAGATTTTATTTCCTAATTCACACAGGTGGTAATCCAAACTTAAAAGAGACACACTTTCAGAAGGAAAACCTGAGCCTCGCATGTGCTGAAGCTCTAAGACATGAACCGTTTTACTGGATGGAAACACAGTAAAGCAGCATTTGTCCGCCTGTGACACACACAAAACAGAGTCCTCTTGGTGACACCAGACACAGAAAGGCACAGGAGCTGAGTGCTCCGTTCTGACTGTGCTGTCCAAGTGCACACACTTCGCCTCCCTGTTCACACCCTAGATGTGCAGAAACTACAGTGGTCACGTACCAGGAGCGGCCGGTGTGCCTCCTCTGATTTCAAGTGAAAAGTCCAAAGGGATGCTAATCTCCTTTCATTTCGAGTTATTTTTTGGACAGGTCATCCACCAAGGTGAGTTAAATGGTAACGTGCACTACATTTTTTAAAAAGTATCCAGTCTATCATTGATGGGCATTCGGGTTCGTTCCAAGTCTTTGCTATTGTAAATAGCGCTGCAATAAATATACGTGTGGATGTGTCTGAATAAAGAAACTGTGGCACATATACACCATGGAATACTGTACAGCCATAAAAAAGGATGAGTTCATGTCCTTTGCAGGGACATGGATGAAGCTGGAAGCCATCTTTCACAGCAAACTAACACAGGCTCAGAAAACCAAACACCACATGTTTTCACTCATAAGTGAGAGGTGAACAGTGAGAACACAAGCACACAGGGAGGGGAACAACACACACCAGGGCCTATTGAGGAGTGGGAGGCAAGGGAGGGAGAACATTAGGACAAACACCTAACGCATGCGGGACTTCAAACTTAGATGACGGGTTGACAGGTGCAGCAAACCACCATGACACATGCATACCTATGAAACAAACCTGCACGTTCTGTACGTGTATCCCAGAACTTACAGTTAAAAAAGAAAAAAGAAAACAAAATGAAGTATAACCTCTTGAACCTAAAAAAAAAAAATTAAACAAGACCTACTCTTGCATCTTTTGCTGAAGGAAACAAACTTCAGGGGGGTGGAGGGGAGAGCAGTAAACCCTGGGAAAAGGCACCATGATCCAAAAGTTGATGGACTGTCTAAATTATTAAAATATCCTTGAAAAAAATGAATAGGTTCTTGCCTAATTACTCTGTTTCAGAGAAACACCTACACTACATTAGAGTAGACACAAAATAACTAAGGCGGAGTATCTCAGTTACTTTTTAGGATCCTTCATGAAATTTTATCAATGGCACCTTAAATTGTAAACACTACAGAGAAACTGCCAGAAGAATGAGGACTCAGCCGAAAATACAAGTAAGTAATGAGAAAACAAGAGTCAAATGCTTCTGTCTTTAAAGTTGGTTTGCTTACCCTCCAACTTTGAAACTCATTTGGAAAATGAGGACATGTGATATACCAGGCTACATCTCGACGGCTCACTACCTTGCAGTATAATAAGCTTATGTTCCAACAGCAGCTGGAGAAGGATGCTGTCAGCCAGTTAAACATCCAAGCATATGTCACCAAGCACTTACAATGAGCTCGGAATCTCGTCCCATGGAAATGACGGTTCGGTTCACGGTCCGGAGAAGCTTCTCCATGATAATCTGGACGTGCCTCTGAGTTGGCCCCTGAGGAAGGACCCACCAGTGAAAATCAACACCAAAGAGAAATATTAACATGCAAGCCCCAGTGGCTGTCATTGAATCCGTTTACCCTGTAAAGAGTAAATCAATTATAACCCTTAATGAGATGAAAAATGGCCCCTGTCAAAGGCAAAAGCTCTCACAAAGAAAACTCAGGGGATTTTATTAATTATAGTCCATTGATGATAATTTGTTCTATATATAAAATCATAGTAATTTAATTTAAGCAAACCTTAAAAATAAAAGAAAAATCTGTTTAAACAATATAATGTTTATGATCCCTGATTAGCCCACCAATTAGTTTTCTAAAGATACTTGGCCACCTGAAAATGGAAGGCAGGCAGATAACAGTCCTAGATGGCTCGGCATATCAAATGCACATAACTTAAACAGTCACATAGGACAGAATGTTTAAACAGCTTTTAGCAAACTAACATTCATGCTGCTGTGGCATTTTCCATCAGTAAAAATTGACTCTTTTATTAGTGTGGGATGCGATTGTTGATTCTTCTTTGTGAACTTTGAATCTGATTAAACACGTGCTCTAGGACTATCCCAGTGTCACCACCTCCTCTGAGAGGTCTGCCCAAACAAGCTATTATCCCAAGTTTTTCCCCAATAAGAACAGCGAAGAGCCAGAAATGGGAACACTGGAGATTGACCTTTGGGTGAAGGCTTCCAAAACCTCTCCAAAAGCAACACCCTTGGAAGAGCTGAAGTTTCCAGCATCACCAACAACAGATTTAATCCAATCTTTTCCCTCAAGATCACTAACCAGGCTCTGAGAGAATGAGCCAGTGCTGCAGGGGAGTGGGTGACCCCTTATGTGGGCATGGTGACTAGGAGGGACTTCCAAAGTCTTGCAGGAAAGAGCCAGGGACAAGGCTCATCTACTTAAAAACCCCGGCCACTCTGTCCAGGGCTAGGGGCAAAGATGGACAAAGCCTTGCTTTCACCTCTCCAGGCACAACATGAGTGCTCAGACAGGTGTGGTATGTTGGGAGTGAAAGGCGCAGGGTCAGACTTTTCCATATGTGCTGGCACCAACTTCCTTTTTGTTTTTCTATTTTCTAGAGATGGGGGTCTCACTATGTTGCCCAGGCTAATCTCAAACTTTTGGGCTCAAGTGATCCACCCACCTTGGCCTCACAAGTGCTGGGATAACAGGCATGAGCGATGGTGCTGGGAAGGCACAAACTTCTGATTTTTAAAAATGTCCCAGAAACAAGCATACAATTTCGAAATGCAAAAGGAGTGCGGTAGAGCTAGGAAAGCACAGACCTCGCAGAAGAGAGCCTGGGGGAGGAACAGAGCTTCTCTTCTTATGACTCTCCCAGCACACCTGGCTTTTTTTTTTTTTTAACTTTGTGTATGTATTACAGTAATAAAAATAAGAAGAAAGAATGCAGTAGTTAGCCAACTTTAAGCATCAAAGCCTTTTTGTCTGACTTTAGGATGAAAATCTAAGTCCTGAGAGGCATTTCACTGAGAAAACACAGTAAATAAAAAACTATTTTCAATGCAGAAGGCTAAATCTTGTAATGTCATAATCACCATAAATACATAAATAAAAATAATTAAAGGGTGCAACTCTACCAAGACAAAAAGAGAGGCCAGACCTTAAAATTAAGGCCATTCTTTTTTACATGAATAAAGTTGCACTGCAAGGCAAATGGCAGGTTCAAACAAATGCCAGGACGTCATGCACAGAGCCATCACTCACCACGTCCTTCCTGTACAGCACCTCAAGGATGTGGCTGAGCAGCTGACAGCAGGCCTCCAGGTCCTCCTGTCTCTCCAGATGGTACTTGAGCTGATCGGTCATCATGGGAAGCAGGATCTCTCTGCAGTCTACACAGGACACAGGGTTGCCCATCAGTGGGAGACCCATCAAGATGCAACTCGCGTTTGCTATAAGCTTGTCTGCCCTTTCAAGCATTTTGCATTTCCCTTGTACAACACATGAAACTGACATCTGGAGGGGTCAATGACTTGACTTTGAGAACATCACGTCTACTGCTAATGTAAATGATTCACACATAAACACACTTCCGTGCATCTGTGTCTGTATCCCAGTAAATAGATGATAATTTGCAAACATACATACTAGACATGAACACAGACACACTTATGTCCTATTGTGCGCACATAAGTGCAGGCACAAACACACTTGGGTTTTTTAATGAATTTTCTCTAACTACGAATTCACTAATTTGCAACATTAAAAGAAATATTTCCTACATCAAAAATTATTTGAATTGCAGCTTTTTTCATCTATGCCAAGGTGAGCCAAAGTATGGTTTCCTTCTCCAAGGTAGAAGATGCCAACCTTGGAATGTGGCAGTTTAAGGCACATAGAGTCCTTCTCAAGGCAGCTTCCTGGAGAGGGCTGAGGAGGAAGCAGAAATGAAAACCAGGAGCAGAGGCCCCGCTCTGGGAAGCAAGGCTATATGGTGAAGGAATAGCATGGTGAAAGGGCCAGAGTCAAAATGGGCTTGGATTTCCACTCGTTCTTATGATAGGAGCACAGGAAGAATGTTCAGAAAATAAAAGAGCAACAGGAAAACAGATACAAATAAGATGAAAGGTGAAATGCCAGTCTTAATTGTCTCTTCCAGTTGGGAAATCCGGTTCAACTGGGGCAACATCCACTCTCCAACACGGGCTACCTATGTCTAATACCAGTCCTGTGTTTTGTCACTAGCTCAGCAACTCTTATTTCCATTAAATGCAAAGCATGAGAGGAGACAGCGCTGCTCTAAACCCTTAAATAGACTTAGCCTGTTTTCCGGATTTTATATTTTAAGGCTTACAACATTAATGATACATAAACACATGCTTTGCATCAATGTTTCTTTTACATAAGAAAACTGTAAGCATGCAACATTGGAAGGGTTCCTTTAAGTATGCAGAGTACACTTAGAACTTTCCCAAGAACTACACTATATTGAAGGACTGGGGTGCAGGCAGAGAGAAACAAAGATTGAGAAGAAACACAAACCCTTCTACTCCACTGTCTCCAGCGGATCACATGTGGGCAGCTCATGTCAAGGCCTTTCCAAATTCCATTTTTTATTGATTTCTCAGGAAAGGACTTATAGCAACTCCATTTTTCCAAAAAGTTTTATCCAGTTAATATGGGAAAATGTAAAATTACCTGTTGATTTCTCAATGCCAGTAGTCAATACTTAGGCAGAAGCAAAGCATGACATGCTAAGTGCTGTATATCTTCTGAAAAGAGAACAGGTCAGCTTCAAAGGCTGTGGTGTCTGGAATTTCACAGGAGGTCAGTGAGGGAGAGCACAGTGCCAAGATGGGCTGCCCCTGGAGGAGCCTCTGCCCTGGCGATAGAGCCACTCAAAAACAAAGCAAAATGAACAAGAAAATGACTTCATGGGAGGTCTCATTCTTGTTCTTCTCTCACCAAGAGAAATGACCTCATGGGATCAAATCCAGCCTGGAAGCGCTAACACACGGGACACACGATTTCCACAAATATCCCTAAATCTCAATTCCTTTCCTATAGCATCTCGATGTTTATGAACTACATCCAACCTCAGTAACTCGAGCTGCTGACCTTAACCACGATGCAACATCCAACGTAGGGTTTAACTCTAGATGCTCTAGCCCAGCTTGCTGGAACTCTTCCTCAGCAAACCCTCATCCAAGCCCAGCCCTGCCAGCGCTCTTCCTCGTGGTGCCCCACCATGATATCTCCCAAATGAGTCCTCCCTCCCTTAGGCAGGAAACACATCACACACGGTGCCCACCTCAACATGAGGAGAGCCCTGAGCCAACCCTGTCACCTGGTCATCCCTATCCCTGCCACCATTCTGGAGAACAAGCTGAATTTCCAAGAAACCTCAGAGGTAAGTCAGAACCACTAAGATCTGAGCAGGTGATGATAGCCCCTGAAAATGTGTCTAAGGTAAAAAAAAGACTACATAAGCTTAGTAAGGCCATCTTCCGAAGCCAGCTTAGGATGGACGTGAGAGAGGGAGAAGGTCTAATGGACCAGCAAGTACAGGCTGGGAGAAGGGTGTGTCCATAAGTGGTTCCAGAAAATCAGAGGAACATAGCTCTGGGCTCAGAGACATCAGAACTGACCCTGTAGGCTCTCGTACCCAGATGTCCTGGCCTAAATCCATCCATCCCATCCCTCACCACACCATTTATCCGTCATGCTAGCTAGGCAGTCGTGGTCTGTGCTGCTCTCAGAGCTAACTGAGTGTGCTGGTCTCACTTGTTAGAATTACTCTGGGGAGAAGGAAGGGATGTCTGCCTGTTCATCTTTGGCTGGGAGATGCTATCGACCATCTTTGTCTACCTGGTAGGAACATCTAGCATCCACCCCACCTGGAGGGCTGCGCTACCTTCACCTGTTTGCTATCCAGCCTCTCTTGACTAGAAACAACAAAACTTTTGGAAATGTCACTGTCGTTTTGTCCCACATAAAGATAATTCATTTTTAAAAAATTGTTATAATCACCCTGATAGATCAGAATCCAACTGCACCTCAGCCTTCATGACCCAGCCACCCATGGCTGGGAAGTGGGGCTATGCCTACTTTAACTGGGACAAAATGAGATGATGCTTGAGGTAGGACTTTGCAAAAAGCCGTCCAACATGCCTCAGTGAGAAGTCTCCCCCAGCACCATCAGCATCAGGAAACTCCACACCTGACCCCAACACAGAACCACATCACTGAGGAGGAATGGCTAGCAACCAGGCTTTCCCTAAAGGCCAAAGGTCACTCTGCTCATGCCAGGCATTTCGACCAGGCAGAGCGTCACACAGGTTGTGGCACTTCACAGTACCGTCCATCGCCTGGTCCACCACAACCCATTCCAGGCCCCCAGAGAAAGACCGGTAACCCCCCAGAGCCACTCGGAGAGGATGGGAGGACCAAAGCTGAAGGGAGCAAAGCCAAGGAGTGGGCCTCGCTGGTGACCTGTGATCTGCAGGCCTCACCATAGCCCGGGATGGACCCAGGTACAACTCCATTCTCAAAACACCTGAAATGCTGATTGTATTAATTATCTCTTCCTCTTCATTAGGATGCAATCTCCATAAGAGCAGAAGCCTTCTTATTTCCTTAAATGGCATATCCAAGCACATAAACCAAGGCCTGATGATGGTGCTGGTATGAGTGTGTGCATGTTGGATTAATTTGCAATTACATGCATGTGGTAGCAAATTGAAGTCTGCAGTTAAAAGCAGGTCTGCCACTCCCAGCCCTCAACAAATGGTAGCTGTTGATAACAGTAATACAAGTATCATTACACAAAGTCAGACTTTTCAACTAAAAGTATACAAAGAAAACCAAAGGCTTGCAGCTGCGCTATCCAGCACAGTAGCCACTTAGCTGCCCTCCCCAACAGCGAAAACCTACGTTTCTTAAGACCTCATTTTTAAAAGGGTTTCTCTTATTCTGTATTTCTGTCTACAGATAGTAGGTTTTTCCAAGAGTACACGTTTTAAGTAACAGTAAGAGTCTTGAACTTTATCTTAAGATAGCGTATCAAGAGCTCTGAGGAAGGTACACTACTAAGACAGACAGATGGACAGATAGACAAACAGACAGATGGACACCCACACGCACATACACACACCCTATAATGACCTATTTTAAAGCATGAACAGCTGTCTCTGGCAGCCAAGAAGAGGAATCTCCTGTCTTCCTCAGAACATCACATCTAAATGTCCTGAATACTTTTCTCATGGACAAAATGTCATTTCCATGGGTTTGGCATTGATAGTCCCATTAGTTTCAAAACAGATGTCCTGGGAACCAAACAAATAATCCACCAGGAGGATTTAAAAAGGGAGAGGGGGTGGGCAGGCGCGGTGGCTCACACCTGTAATCCCAGCACTTTGGGAGGCCGAGGTGGGTGGATCACGAGGTCACGAGATCGAGACCATCATGGTCAACATGGTGAAACCCCATCTCTACTAAAAACATTAAAAAAAATTAGCTGGGCATGGTGGCGCATGCCTGTAATCCCAGCTACTCAGGAGGCTGAGGCAGAATTGCCTGAACCCAGGAGGCGGAGGTTGCGGTGAGCTGATATCGCGCCATTGCACTCCAGCCTGGGTAACAAGAGTGAAACTCCCATCTCAAAAAAAAAAAAAAAAAGGGGGGGAGGGGGGTCTTATATTTTAAAGAAAAATACATCATCTTTTGAAAACTCTGGAACAAATACTTACCGGAAGTCCAGAAACCTGGGTCACTTTATGGGATATGGGAAAAGCCTTTTAATCAGTTTACCCACACATATGAAGAAATAATGCAATCCCTTGCCCAGGTGCGGTGGCTCAAGCCTGTAATCCCAGCACTTTGGGAGGCCAAGGCGGGTGGATCACAAGGTCAAGAAATAAGAGACCATCCTGGTCAACATGGTGAAACCCCGTCTCTCCTAAAAATACAAAAAATTAGCTGGGCATCGTGGCGAGTGCCTGTAATCCCAGCTACTCAGGAGGCTGAGGCAGGAGAACTGCCTGAACCCAGGAGGCGGACATTGCGGTGAGCCAAGATCGCGCCATTGCACTCCAGCCTGGGTAACAAGAGCGAAACTCTGTCTCCAAATAAATAAATAAATAAATAAATAAATAAAAATAAACAAACAAGGAAATAATGCAATCCCCCTGCTGGCTCTTTGCTTTGTAACTTGAGCAAGTTACTTAAAGTTACTTAAATTCTCTAGGTCTTAATTTTTCTTATGTCAAAATGGGGATGCTGTAGGTCATCTCTCAGGTTGACTGTGAGAACTAAATGATAGAAAGTGTGTATTTAGCAAATAAGAGCCTACAACAAATGCTGGTAACAGAAGGAACAGTATTATCCAAAGTCA